AACGCGCCGTAGGTGCCGGCTTGGACGGTGGGGACGGCGGTAGCAGCGTCGGCAGAGGATTTTCGTGGGTCGAGATCGATACGGCGTTCCAACGTCGCGTACTGACCGGCGCTGTGACGAACTCGACGTACATCAAACCCGAGCGATTTCTCGAGGATGCGAGGGGCACCGTGCTCGAAAAAGTGCGGGGTAATTTGAACAGATACGCGTGTCTGAAGGTCAATGTCATATTCAATGGGGAATTCGTAGCGGACGTTAAGACCGATGTGAAGAGTATCGCTACGCGGAACGAACAGCTCCTCCTAGGGTCCGATCTGGACGAGTGGTACGAAAGGCACGTGCGCGACGCGATTCTAGCGGCGTTGGACGAATTTCAGGAACGCGACAGCGGATGGGCGTTGATGCGAATACTAAACCTAACGGTGAACGTGAACAAGTGTAATCCCATGCGCGTGGGATATTGGATGAAGATACCGCTAGGTATAACTTAAAAAAGCGGTGATCAACATGCTGTTGGAGAACGACACGTATTTCGCGCGTGCGGTGGTCGCGGCTAGTAGGTAAGCTACGTTTGTTGTAACCCATGGGGCAATGAGGGGGGGTGAGGGGCGGGGGGAACCGCGGGCGGGGGAGAGTATCGGGTTACAGGGGGTACGCGCGGGGGGGGGTATCGGGTTACACAAGAGTATCGGGTTACAGGGGGTGAGGGGGGTGACCTTGACATACCATGTGAATGAATCACCGGGATGACGTCACCGGGGTCCTGCGCGCCGCGGGTCGCGTGGGGGCCGCGTCCGCGCCGTGGTGCGGGGGAGGGGGGTTCGCGTTTTCGGCGCGGCGCGGGGTAGGGGTCGGCCGCGTCGGTCCGCGTGACATCACACGGCGCGCTTGCGTCATCTCCCCCCCCCGGTCTCTCTCTCGCGCCAACGTCCCCGTTCTCTTTCCCTCGCACGCGTCTCTCGCTCCCACCCATTAGAAATCTCCTTCCCAAAGTACGAGGCTTAGAAAGATGTATTGTAGAAGAAAATAATTAAATTATTTTTTAAGCGATTTATTTATTGGAAATAAGAGGAAGAATATTTAATAATTTATACAGATGAAATGAGTTTAATGATCGCGCGACGTGTGCGGCACGTGCATTCTTATCGCTTTGTAATTCTAAACCGCTGACGGTGGACAAGGGAACGGTAGACAGAAGGAAAGATAATTTTAGATACAGCGTGATATGTATTTCAATATACATTTATTTCTCATGTAAAGCGTCGTGTACAATATTATCTACAGCGTAGGCTAATAATTCGCAGTCTATTTGAGAATTTTCATCATAAATTTCACGCAAGACGGCAAATCTGCCGCTTTACATTTGTCGATGATACATTTTCGCTGTAAAATGGTTACAAATTGATTAAATTTCATATTTACTTCATGTGTAATATGATACAGTCTGAAATATTCGTGTCTGACGCAATGTTCTAGTTCGAACAAGAAAAGTACTGTTGACGGTTTCATGTACAAGCTGGTGGCGCACGATGTCAATTTTATAATATCATCGTCACGTAATTTAACGAGTTCCAGATCTCGAAACGCTAGCGATGATGGTGCTGGTGACTGCATGAGTCGCTGAATATCTGCACGTCTTTCAATAAACGTCATCCACGTTGCATGAGGCAGATTTATCCGATTGCCTCGGTTATCGCCAATAAGTATATCCACAGAGGACATAGGTCCCGCGTTGATTCCCACATCCAAAAATTTATACGCTGTTGATGTCAAGGCAAATCTCCTTCCCAAAATACGTGGCGTGTAGCGGGGTTTATCAAAACTGAAAAAATACAATTATATGTTTATAAAAGTTTTTTTTTTTGCACAAGTATATATGAAAATTATCGGTACTTACTCATTGTGCTGTTTCTCACACGTTTCGTCCTGAATTGGAACGTAGTAGTTCGCACCGTGAATGTTCATCGTATCTGGAGGCTGTTTGCGACGTACTCGAACCGTATTGAACTCTCGACTGCGCTCTAGAATCCTCGTAGACCATTTATACATACCCAAAACTGCAAATCTTGCAAAAATAGCGCCAATGTACGGCTGCTGCATGGTGACCGCCACCACAATCCACATATACGT